TCTTGGGGTTTTTACTGCTGTGGTGAAACACCATGACCACAAGTAAGTTAGAGAGGAAAGGGTTTATTTTGCTTACACTTCCAGGAAACAGCCAACTACTGAGGGATAGCAAGGCAGGAGCTCAAGCAGGGTAGGAACCTGGAGACAGGAACTAAAATAAAGCAGCGGCCATGGAGGATGCTGCTTACTGGCTTGCTCCTTGTGGCTTGCTCAGCCTGCTTTACCATAGAACCTAGGACCACTTGCCCAAGGATGATACCACCCACAATGGGCTGGACCTCCCCCCATCAGTCACTAATTAAGAAAGTGCCCACTGGTCAGTAGTGACATGCCTTTAATCCCTGCACTTGAAAGGCAATTTGAGGCAAGCCTGTTCTACAGAGCAAGTTCCAGGACAGCTAGAGCTACACAAAGAATCCCTATCTTAAAAACCAGGAGAGAGGGGAGGAGGTAGAGAGGAAGAGAGAGAGAGAGAATATGCCCTACAGGCTTGCCTACAGCCCATTTATGTGGAGGCGTTTTCTCCTCCTCAGATGACTCTAGTTAGTGTCAAACTGACATAACCCTAGCCACCACCCCCCTCCGCGCCCCCCCACTTTGATCTTCATTCCAAGAGATTTCATTTGTTCAAGGGAGTGAGGTTGTTTGTGAGGGAACTCTTGGCTGTCCAGGGCCCTGAAACCCACACCTGTCTCTGTCTCTTCTCCAGATGCTCCTGGAGAAACTGAATGGCACAGTGCCCTGCCTCCTGGACACCAGCACCATCCCTGCCGAGGAGCTGACCATGAGTCCCTCGCGTTCCATTGCCAACCCTTCCCTGAATGACAGTGTGGCCACTGGTAGCCTCCGGCCTTCCAATGGTGACTCGCCCTCCCACCCCTACCACCGAACCTTCTCAGCCCACTTTCACCACTTTGTGGAACAGTGCCTTCAGCGCAACCCTGACGCAAGGTACCCTGATGGCCATCTCCGGAGCTTCAGGGGAGCAGAGGGAGCTTGGGAGCTCCAGCCAGAAGAGAGGTTGACTCTTAAATAGAGACCTGGATTCCCAGAGGGAGGAATGTGTGATCCCACAGCAAGAAGCTAGCCTGGGGGGCTTTGGCTATTGGTTGTTGGGAGAGAGAGCAGAGGGAGGAGGTAGAGGATGAACGTCAGGGTTTGGTTAGCTGAGTTGTGCTCTCTTCCTCTTTCTCTGCAGGCCTAACACCAGCACCCTCCTGAACCACTCCTTCTTCAAGCAGGTATGAAGCGCTCCCCTGGTTCCAAACCTGCTGCTGCTCACCCGTGGTTCTCGCCACCCCGACCCCTTAGCTTGGGGGTAGGTGCTCTTCCACGGCTGCTCTGTTTGAACAGAGGAGGACCGTGTTTCTGAGGCTTTAAGAGGCACTATCCCGCCTTTCTCTTTTGGCTCCAGGACACCATGGGTCAGGAACCACTGCCTGGTAACTGGAGGTCCTGTGGTGTCCTGAGTTGTAGCATCCACCGTCCAACTTGTCTTTCTCCCTCAGATCAAGCGACGTGCCTCAGAGGCGTTGCCCGAGTTGCTTCGCCCTGTCACCCCCATCACCAACTTTGAGGGCAGCCAGTCTCAGGATCCCAGTGGAATCTTCGGCCTGGTGACAGACTTGGAAGGCCTGGAGGTGGATGACTGGGAGTTCTGAGCCAGTGCAGCCTTCACCCTCCAGCTGGGGTGGGGTGTGAGTCCCAGGAGCTCTTCCTGAGGGTTGGCACCTACCTCTAGGTGCAGCCTGGGTAAAAAGGACACTATGCCTGCAGAGCTGGCTGCTGGCTGCTTGAAAGGACAATCTGGAAGAGACTTCACTGTTTTTGTGGCTTTTGAGAGACAGGGAGTCCCAGTCACCTGGGACTTGGAGAGGCCGGAAAGCTGACATCCTGTCCTGTGAGCTCAGGGGACCTCCTTAGAAGGAAGAGACACTGCTTTGGCCCCAAGGCTGAAGTTCAAGCCCAGAGCTTAACTCACGACCCAGGGACCCTTCACTTCCTCTTCCCGCACTTGCTCTCCTGCCAGCCTATTCCACTCAGTTCTCTGCTCCCAGATCCTGTAGGGCTAAACCGGGCACAAGTCCTAAGCAGCCCGCCCCGCCCCGCCCCGCCCCGAGGCCTCTCCCCAGTCTGTTTTAAGCACCAGGTCAGTTATGGCTGGGCCGGGTCATTCTCATCCCCACCCAGCTCTTGGACCCTGAAGCCTCTTAGCTCGTCTGTCTGTTACATTCCTTTCCCAAGAATCCATGCCATGCCTCCTGCCAGCTGCTGCCATGGTGCCTCCAAGGGCCGTAAAGTCTCCCCTCATCTGAGGGCTTGAGTAAGTCCTTATGTTGTATCAGTTTCATTGTCAGAACAAATTAAACATTTCAGAGTATGTTGGGAATGACAACAGTTTTCCATGTGTGCAGAGGCTGTAGCCAGCTTGTAGGGATGGCCAGCCAGGCTAAGGTGCAGGCCATCATTCTCCCAGGGTGGGCTGAGTGGGTGCGGGGGGCTGGGCAATGAATGATGTCTTTCATAAGCAGACATACCAGTTTAAAAACCCACAGTCTCTTAATTCCTTAGAATTTTAGGAGTATTATTAAATTTTGCCTTGGCAAAGTTATCTGGAGAGGGCACCAGTGCTGTGTCTAGCCAAGCCCACCTCTGGGGCACTGAGCACTGGCAGCCAAGGGTGGAGAGCTTTGTCGTATCCTGATGGTTGGTACTAAATACCCAGCAATCGTGTAACCCAAGAACCTGCTGTCCTGGCAGCCAGTGACTGCCTGAGCAAGGGTCCTGGCTCTAACTTTGTTTCTTTGCACGCCCAGCCCAGCATTTCCACCTGGCTAGGCCCGGGTGAGGCCCTCTGCGGCCTGAGGCACTTCAAACCCTGGTTTTTGTTTGTTTTGTTTCATTTTTTGTTTTTCAAGACAGGGTTTCTGTGAGTAACACTGGCCATCCTGGAACTAGCTTTGTAGCCTGGCTTTAAACTCACAGAAATCCGAATGCCTCTGCCTCTGCCTCCCGAGTGTTGGGATTAAAGGCGTGTGCCCCCACTGCCTGGCATAAGTGCCAGTTTAAGGAAACCCTCCCTTTTCTGAGGCTACTTAAGCCATCAAATGTCCCCACTTTGCATTGTCTTAGAAATGGGACCAGGAACATAGCTAGTTGTCAGAGAACTTGCCTGGCATGCATGCTTGATCAGCTCCTCAGCACTTTGAACATTGGGAGTGGGCATGGCATCTCTCTATAAGCCCAGCACTTTGACGCAGAGACAAGAGGATGGGCGATGTACATCATCCTCGGCTACATAGCTGGGTTACGGCCTGCTTGGGCTGGAGACCTTGTCTGAGGTACGAACATTTGAAGAAACGTTTTCTTTTAATTCCCCACTATGGAGGTGGGCAAGGGGACCTGAAATGGCATGTGAGAAAGTGCCCCTACTACTGCCGGGTTTGTTTTTCCTTAGACACTTCAATTTTAAAATCCTGTATTTTTTAAATAGGTGTGCTTGTGTGCAGCAGGACATGACTTGTAGCCCAGAAAACTCAGGAAACTGGCATGGGCCCACAGCTAGCCATTTTCTGCACTGCCTGCCTCCTTGCAGTCAGCTCAGCTCATCCCTGCCGGCAGCTCAGCCCACACATGGTCCCAGCCGGGCAGGTTGCCAGTCCGTGCCCAGGAGCGGCCTCTTGGTGTCCCTAAGGGCTTCACCTTTCTTGCATCAAACAGCTTCTTTGGTGACTCTGATGACAGGTGTGGACAATTTACCCAGGAAGAGCTCCCCTCCCCCTCCCCCTCCCAGTTGTGGCGGAGCACCCACCAGGAAGTCGGTGGCTGAGCCTCCTTGCAGGCAAAACATCGTCTAGAGAGAGAACGAGGGACTAAGAGGAAAGTGAAGCACAGCGTGGGGAAACAGTGGGGGCCGGTGGGGACGGGAGGTGCAGCCTGCTGCTTCCCTGTTCCCTGCCAGGCAGGAGGCGTTGGGCTGTTCTGTTCCCTGACACGCGTGGGCCCGCGCTAGAGCCACCAGTTCTATTCCTGTCACGGGTGTGGGAACACGCCGCTTGAGTGCTGCGTGCTTCGTGAAACAGCCTCTAGGCAGGCGTTAGGCGCTTCCAGCAGAGGCCCGTGCCGCAGATGCCGCTGCCCAGAGGCCCTCCAGTGCGGCGCTGTCCTCCCCCCGGGCGGCCGAGTGGCCCGCGGCACCCCAGACCCGCCGGGGTAGAGCGGCAGGCGCAGCTCTGACAAGTCTAAATGCCTCTGGCTCCTTCGGAGGATCGGGGCCTGCTTGCTGCCAGGAAGCGGGTCCTTCAACTAAGGGCTTGACCCGGGCCACGGCGTGGAGGCCCCCGTTACAAATCCCACAAAACCTGGCCACAGAGACCGGTTAAGATGCCCGGGTTGAGGGTGTGGGTGCTTTCGGAAGCCGCTAAGCTGAGGGGGTTCTGGGGTGGTGGACCTGTCACACCCTTCACGTGGCGGCCTCGGGCCACCCCTGGCCACCTTGGCCTCACACCGGGGTGTGGGGGCAGCCATGAGCTGTCTCCTCCATCCTCCACCGCAGCACCCGTGGCTGTCGGGGGACCTGCCTCCCGAGTCCCCACAGTGGGACAGCTCCGGGTACCCGGTCTCCAGAGCGCGAGGAGGGGGCGGGGCTAATGCGACTCGGCCTTCACAGTGGCCAACGGGTAAACCGAGGCAGCCAAAGGCCCAGACCCATTCGCGAAGGTCCTCGCCGGGAGCGCCTTGTGTGGCGACCATAGGCTGAACTCATCCCCGCCCGAGGTGTGTGATTCAGTCCCCGCCGTCGTCCCTTCCGCACGAACGGCAAGGGAGGTCGGTTCCGGGCGACGGGCGAGCGCGGGCTGCGAAAGCGGTGCGGGGGGCAGACAAAGGCGGGGGGGGTGGCGAGCGAGGGAAAGACAAAGCACAGAGGGGGTCGGCGGCGGCTTCTCCCGGAGGCGGCCCCGGGCACGCGGAGCCAATGGGCGGGCGCGGGGCGGGGGCCGGCGGGGGCGGCGCCGCGGCGAGGCGGCGGCTGCCGCTCGGGGACCACTGGCAGCGGCGGCAGCTCGCGCCCGCGCCTCTCGCACCCGAGGCGGCCCCCAGCGAGCGACCCCCGCCCCGCGGCGCAGGCCGGGCCCGGTGAGACCCACGGCGGCCGGGGGGAGGGGCGCGGAGCGTTGCGGGGCCGACGCCGCCTGGCGGTTCGCGCGGAGCGCTCGCTGCGACCCCGAGGCTCGCGCCGGTCCCGCTGGGCCGGCCCGTGGTGGGGTGGGTTCGGGTCCGGGGTCCCGAGGAGCGGGCGCGGGAGGCGGCGCAGCCTGGCCGGGCGGGAGGCCGGGCCGAGCTCTGCCCAGGGGCTGCACCTCTGAGCCCGGTGCGGGGGGGACAGGGCCGGGGGGGATCAGACCTCTGCTGACCTCCCCTCACCCTGGGCGGGGTCTCCGCCCGTGGGAAGCACACGCAGGCACCGCGGAGCCCCCGTCCCCGGCCGCCCTCGCTAACTTTGTTCTGTCCCCGCAGATGTTTCCACTCAGGGACCCCTTGCCCCTTGGGGAGCTGCATGAGGGGCAGGCAGGCTGGGGAGGGGGGTGAGGGGCGGAAGTCGCAAGACCCAGAGCAACAGGAAATGACTTAGGGAAAGTCCCAACCGCAGCCCCTCAACCCCCTGCCTAAAAACACCCCAGCCTGCAGGATGGGGGAGGGCTCTTGGGGCCCCACTGACTGACTTCCCCTTGCAGAACCCTCCTGGCGCGGCGTCTCCACCCAGGCCGCCAACCACCTCCGAAGAGCCATGTTCCAGGCTGCCGGAGCCGCCCAGGCCACCCCCTCTCATGTAGGTGACCAGCCAGGTGGGAGGGGTAGAAGGGACAGGAGCAGTTCGTTTGCTTGACACCCACTGCCACTTTTTTGAGTGCCCCTGGGATCTGGGCTGGGCCACCGGAGAGCTGGCCCGCTCTGACTGCTCCTCTTCCCCAGGAAGCCAAAGGCAGCAGTGGCAGCAGCTCGGTGCAGCGCTCCAAGGTAGGGCCCCGCGGGTGGGCGTGGGTGGAGGGAAGGGTCGGTGCTGATCAGGCTTCTTGCTGAGTGTACCCTACTCCCCCACTCCACAGTCCTTTAGCTTGCGGGCTCAGGTGAAGGAGACCTGTGCAGCCTGCCAGAAGACTGTGTACCCTATGGAGCGGCTGGTGGCAGACAAGCTTATTTTCCACAACTCTTGCTTCTGTTGCAAACACTGCCACACCAAACTCAGGTGCGCCATGCTTTGCCCGGCCCGTTTAACTTGCCCACCCTACCCTGCCTTCCAGCCCCGACCTAGACTGATAGAGCTGTTCTTTGCTCCCGCAGCTTGGGCAGTTATGCTGCACTGCACGGTGAATTTTACTGCAAACCTCACTTTCAACAGCTGTTTAAGAGCAAAGGCAACTACGATGAGGGGTTTGGCCGTAAACAGCACAAGGAGCTCTGGGCCCACAAGGAGGTGGACTCAGGCACCAAGACAGCCTGAGATCCCTCTAACATCTGTTCCCTCCCCGTACATGATCTACAGCTGGCCAGTGGCAAGGAGGTTGATCTGGGCTTGTGAGGGGAGCGGGGTGGGAAGGGATGAGGCTCCCTCAGACAAGTTTCAGGCACAGGGCTCTGCTCCAGGATTCCTTAACTTTTCCCATAGGAGGTGGAGGTTTGGGAACCAGAATTGGATTTTCACCATACTGCTTCCTTCAGACCATCTCATCTCACCCCATGGCCCCCTGGGAGGCCCACAAGCCCAGCGTCCCTATTTAGGTGCCTTTTCTCCAGCAAGGAGTCAGCATGCCCTCCTCAGGGTCCCAAGCTCCCACACTGCCACCTGGGCCTTGTGCACCCCTACGTCTCCCCATCTACCTCTGCCCTTAGCCTGGTTCTGAGCCACAGACTGGAGGAGGGAGAGCGCCATCTGCTGGGCCTCATATACACCACCTCATTGGTGGAGGAGGGGGGCCGGGGGAGAGGCAAGACCCCCCCACAGCCTTGGGATCTGGGGGCCCCTTGAACCACAAAGCTAAAGCAAAGCTCTTGCTGGAGCCTCAGCTAACAGGGTCGGCAGTAGCTTTGCTCCCCTTCCTCTCCATTGTTAATGCTTTTCTGACTGTTGTGACCAACCCTGTTTTAAACATGTTTAAACAGACGTTGACTCTGTTAATGTGGCCTGGTGGGGGGCTGGCTGAGTGGCAGGTAGACTGCAAACTCATCATGGGGACGGGGGCCAGCCCATAATACTCCTGCCCTTGAAGGGGCTGGGTGATGGTTGTCAGGGAAGTATTGGCTTGAAAAATTGGTCTCTGCCAACTCAGGGTGGTGTCAAAACCTGGAATCCCAATGTGCTCTTGGAGTTGTGGAGAGAAGCCAGGCCCCACCGACTCACATGTACCCGACAGAGTTTTGTTTTCGTGTTGCCCTCACTGGCCTGCAACTGAGGTCTGCCTACTTCTGCTTCCAAGGTGCTGGGGTTAAGGCGTGTGTCACCGGCGCCCAGCCTCCCTGCAGTTCTTCACAGGTGAACTTACTGACTTGGCCAAGACGGTCTTGGCCTTTCTGCTAGCCAGCCCCAGCTGTCCAGTTTCCTCCGAGCCCTTGCCCTAGATATTTGCAAGGAGTGGAGGGAATCCACAGATGAGCAAGGGCTGCTAAGTTTCAGTGCTGCAGCCTCTCCCTTCTCATTGCTGCCATCTTCCTGGAGCCTCTTGTGGGAAGTGAGAGGTCACAGCTACTGGCCCAGGTCATCCAGGGACACACTCTGCTCCTCCGAGAGCCATGCACACTGAGGATGACAGCTCACAGCAGAGAAACAAGACAAGTGTAAAGACACTCCCTCAGCATGTCTGTCCTGATTTCCGCAAGCTGCCTATGGGAATCCAGCCTCTGGTCCCACCGGTGGATGAACCACTGTGGATTGTTCCTTCAGGTGGGCACTTGGTAAACAGATGACAAGGCCTTGGATCTATGGGAACAAGGATGGTCTCTTGGTGGCAAAGCCAGGTGGTAGTGTCACACACCTTTAATCCCAGGTCTTGGGAGGCAGAGGCAGGTGGATCTACGTGAGTTCAAGGCCAGCCTGGGTGACAGAGTGAGTGCCAGGACAGCTCCAAAGCTACAGAGAAAACATGTTGGGGGTGGGGAGAGGTAAGAGAAAGAAAAGGTGGCAGGCAGGGTCAGGAGTGGTGGTGCACACCTTTATGATCCCAGCACTGGGGAGGCAGAGGCAGGGTGAGCTTGAGACCAGCCTGACATATACATTGAGTTCTAGGGCAGCCAGAACTACAGTGAGACCTTGTTTCAACAACCAAGAGAAATGGGCATATGTTCAGATCAGATGGACCCAACAGTGCTGCCTCATCAGAGCACTGGGATAAGAGGGAAGAAGGGGACCACCGGGCTAGCAATGACATTTGGCCAAGTCATGCCAGGACCCCACTTTTGGCAACTATTTAAAGTTCTACTTAAGGGGCCTAAACTAGATGTTAGGCATCCCGTCTCCACCCAACCCATCCCAATAAAAATTTTCACCAACCATTTTTCAACCAAAGCATGGTCACAGGACCCTTCTGATATAAATGATCCCTTTTATTGTAAGTAATGCACTGGCCTGGCTTTGCACTGCAAGCCCTCAGTCAAGATATAGTCAAATAACTATGGCTGCAGCTTCTGCACAATCCACAATTCAGACACAGACACAGAGCCGGGCGGGTGAGTGGGATGGTCAAGAGGGTGGCAGCATGCACCTGACCCAGGCCTGACCCTCCCATGTGGGGCTGGCCAAGGCAGATAAACCCCATGGAATGAACAGATGGTGGCATAGCACTTTTGCACAGCAGGCCAAGGGCTGCTAGGAGACCACACTTCAGAGCCTCTGGGCCCATCCTAGAGCCCTACAACTTCTCATTTGGATTTATTAATAAAAAATAAATTAGTAGCTTGGTCCTGAGGATGCTGAGCCAGCATGTCCACAGTTTTTGGCACAAAAAAGGGTCCCCCCCCCTTGGAGTGCTGGATTTGTTGGCTTGCTTTTAAGTTAATTTTAGAAAGATTCCCTCTGAGGTAAGATACCCGCCTGGAGGGCTCTGTGAGAGCCTGAACCTGGGACAAGCAGAGTCGTCTCAACTGACATCTTGTCAGCAGCCCACCAAGCTGTTTCCTCTTGGGGTTCAGCAGGGGATAGGCTAAGGGGTGCTCCAGCCACCGGGATGGGGTTATGGAGAGGCTGAGCTACCCTTTGGCAGCTTTGGTCTAGAAAAGGGGCCAGTCCCCACCCTGGGCAAAGGCTGACGTGGAAGCAGGACTTTACTCACTGGCATCAGAGCAGTTAGAGTGGCCTGACAGACCCTCCGAGAAAGGAAATAAAAGGGGGCCCAGGCCCAATTGGCACCGTGCAACACAAACATCTGCAAAACCAGCTGCTTTCAATTTCTGTTCTCTCTTCGGGAGTCCATCACCGGTAACAGTCTAGAATTGATATATATAAAAACCATCAAATATGGATCTGAGATATAAATTAACAAGTACAAGGCCTCACATTACATGATGTGAAAAGGCTAAAAACAGCGATAGAAACTACATTCATAAAAGTGCATCGTCAACACACAACGAAGGCTTTGGCTTGTTCTGTGCCCATGGGGAAGTGGGCATGGCTGGCAGAGCTGCCTGGCGCTAATCCCCAGCTCCCTGGAGATGCCCATCCCTGGGCACTGGCCTTTTTTTTTTTTTTTTTTTTTTTTTTTGATGACAACTCCTAAGAATTTGGAGTTGGAAGGGAGGAGCTGTAGCAATAGGCACATTTGGAGGGGAAGGAAGGGGCTGGAAGAAGGACCAGCGCCCAGGCTGAGGTAAATATGGCCAACTCTAAGCTGCTTGGAGTCTTTCCTCAACCCCTGTTGGCATCCTCCCTTGTGGGGGGGAACAAGGAATGAGGCTGAGAACACAACCGGGCAAGGCAGGCTAAGGAGCAGAGCTGGTGGTGGCTTTGGACTCCCTTTCTCTCTACCCAGTGGAGAGGGCACAGGCTGACAGGCTTGAGACGCAGGCGGCCTTGAGACAGCCCCCTGAACTACACCATGGGGCCAGAGCCAGCTGCCCTTCCCTGTGCTGCTAACTTCTCTGCTCCAGTGAGGGAACAGAGCTCATCCCATCAGCTCTCTCCAGTCTGGCCCAAGGCCGAGCCCACAGGGGTCTCCAGAGCTCAGAGGGCAGAGTCTCCAGTTTAGAAACTGGCAACAGCATAGGAGTGACTCCAACTTGTAAAACAGAGACGATTGCATTGACAAGACTGGGTCTTCCCAGTTACTGGAGGCAACTCCTCCTTCCCAGAATAAGGCAGCATAACATCTGCTTCATTCATCTTTGGTAAAAAGACTGGACTGGCAAAGCACACCAGGAGGCTCTCAGTGAGAGCAGCCCACACCTCTACCTTCTAATAGCTGGGGATGCTGGGCTTTCCCTCAGGCTTGAGAGGGTTCATGCAGCCCAGAGACACTCTGGTGGGTCTCCAGACATTGGGAAGAAAATCAAAATAACACTCTTGAGTGATATAACACTATTCATACCCTTGAGTAAGTCCTGTGCCCCAGTCCCTCCTGGCTTCAGTGATGACTGCAGTGTTAGGACACACTGAGGCCATGGCTGTGTTGCAGTTTCCAGCCTCTTTCCTTCCACATTGTGCTTAGGCTGCTGGACAACTTGGGTCTTACAGGCTGGGGCTCCCGGTCTTGACACCACAGCTGTCCCATCCTTTGTCGAGTCCCAGTGACAGAAGGGGCACAGACAGACAATGCCTGGACTGAAGCTCCACTGTCCTTAGCCTTGCCTGGAAGCAGCAGCAACTTCACGGAGCCTGACAGCGGCCCTTTGTCCGCTCAGCAGGTGGCAGCTGGCAGCAGCATGGCCTTGAGAGCTCAGTATATGAGCTGTGCAAAGTGGTGTGTGAGCAGTTCCTCAGCTGAGGGTCTCTGACGAGCTTCCACAAAAATGCGCCTCAGGAAGTCCCTGCCATGTTCTGAGATGTGAGAGGGAAGCTGAGGATTGGTAGGCTGGGTGGCAATCTTGAAAATGGCAGCCATAGCTTCATATTCTGCCCAAGGTGGTTTCTCTGTTAGCATCTCCACTACAGTACAGCCCAGACTCCTAGAAGAGAACTTTATGTCACCTATCAGCCAGCTTCAAGCTCAGTCACCATACTAGCTATGATGAAAGGTGTCTTTATCAAATCACAAAGGACAAACAGACCAAGCCAAGGGTACTTACTGAGACTGGGAAAGACTACTGACAGACTCCAAGATAACTATCAATTTCCTGTTGGTGCAAATAGTTCCTATTTCCTTGCTTTTCCAGCTTCTGGGGGGGGGGGTGGTCTGCATTTCTTCCTGTCTTTCTCATGTGAGAGAATGAGCCCAATTCCTTGTGTGTATTTAGCATGTTCAGTATTATTAATTGCCAGCAGTAGTGGCACACGCCTTTAATCCCAGGACTCAGGAAGCAGAGGCAGGCAGATCTCTGTGAGTTAGAGGCCAGAATGATCTACAAAAGAGTTCCAGGAGAGACAGGGGCTACACAGAGAAACCCTGTCCCCCACTCCTTGACTGACCTTTGGTACATTTCCTACTACCCACTCTGACCTGCTTTCCTTTTCTAAAGATCTCATCATTACCCCAGGCCCACCCAGGTAACTCAGGATAGTGTCTCACAGTTACAGAAGCCCTGTTACCATACAGATAGATTTTGGTAGTTAGGATTTAGGTATCTTTGGAGGACAACCCATAATAATTGTCTAAGGAGAGAAGTTCTTGTAATTCTTGGGTCCTTTCTGAGGATGGACATAAAAGCAAAGTAAATCAATTGTAAGTTGTTTGGGCACAAGAAGGGGGCTGAGTCTACTCTTGTTTAGAAACAAATCTAGGTCTTTAGAATAGATCCTGGCATGGGTGTGTGGGTGTGGGTGTGTGGGTGTGGGTGTGTAAGCCAGAGCAGGACAAGTATCTTCTCTGCCTTACAGCTGTGAAACAATGTCTCTCACTGAAATGGAAGCTTGCTTTTTCAGTGAGACTGGCTGTCCAGAGAGCTCTGAGGATCCACCTGTGTCTGCCTCCCAATGCTGGAGTTTTATAGGCATGAGGAACCATACCTAGCTTTTTCTGTGAGTGTTAGGGACTTGAACTCAGGTCCTTGTACCTGAACAGCAAGTATTCTTAACCAGTTTGCTATCTTCCCTAGCCCCCAAAACTTCCTGATTATGTTCCTGGCTGTCCTAGAACCTGCTCTGTAGATCAGCTGGCCTCAAACTCAAAGATCTGCCTGCCTCTGCCTCCTCAGGTCTGAGATTAAAGATGCCACATCATCTAGCCCAAACCTGGCTCCTTAAAGAGGTCCAGCAAATATTAAGAATTTTGACCCCCGTGGCCTAAGTCCTTAGCAATAACCCTTTGTTGTTTGGGGTAAAAATTCATTCCATTCATCCCCCAGCCCCCCAAATCTAAGTCCTAGGTACAGCAGCCAGCAAGAGTAGGTCCTCTGCTCCTCTTTCTCACGGTTAAGTCCACAAGTTCATGTCTGATTTATAGAGCCTCCAGCTCAGGCAGGGAGATACCCACACCCCAGTGCTCACCACACATCTGCTTTTCTTCCGTAGCCCTCTCCGCTGATGACTTCAGGGCTCATCCAGTAGGGTGTGCCAGTGACAGAGCGCATGCCTGTCCCAGACATGCAGATGGTCTGTAGACGTTTGCTGGCCCCAAAATCCCCAAGCTTCACATTCCCAGCTGAGTCTCGGAGGATATTGGCTCCTAAGGCATGAAAGGGAAGAGGCTACCATTTTGAATCCTCTTATATTTTTCTTGTATCTCCCCTTCCAGGTGACTGAAGGCCAGTGGGAGGGCCAGGGCCACCACTAACTCAGGTATAAGCTGCAGAGAAACCTCAGAGTATAAAAGGGATCACCCCCATAGTCAACATTTTCATTTTAGGATATTTTCCCCATACTGCTCAACCAATATTTTATACCCATCTCTAATTATGGAAGCAATTGGGGTCCTGTTTTTTCAGAAAACTCAGAGTAGTTAAGTTAGTGATTGTTCTGCTAGTAACTGAATGGAAGTCTTGAACCTAAGCCTCACTTTGTAGACCTGGCTGGCCTGGAACTCACAGAGATCTGCCTGCCTTTGCCTCCCTTCCAAGTACTGGGATTAAAGGTGTGCACCACTATGCCTGTCTGAACCTAGGTCTTGATGCCTCTGCCACAGCTTTCCCTCTACTCACCCTTGATGTCCCGATGCACAATCATGTTGCTATGCAGGTATGACATGCCCTCCAGGATCTGCCGGGTATACTTGCGGGTCACACTCTCTGTCAGAGCTCCATAGGCCTTCAACTGGTCTTTTACAGAGCCCTAGTAGACCACAAGGAGTCAAGAGAGTCCCTCAGGAGCTAGCTTGTGAGATGAGACAAGGTTATTTCCTATCCCCAGTACTGTACAAAGCAGTGATTCATTAGAGTCTCATCTGCATGTATGGGCCACTTCTGCCAGGAGAAGCCTAAGACAGTCCTTATCTCAAGCAAGTAGGATCTATAACCAGTCTGGGGAGATCCTCTGTTCCAGTCAAAGGTTGTGCTTACTAGACATGAACCAGCCCTTCAGGACCCTCAAGTTAGATTGGGACATTTTTCATTTCACACCCTCTTTGTAGCCAAAGTCAGAGCCCTCTTGACATCAAACCCTGCCCCCACCGCACATGGTTTCCCAGAACTCATCAGATCAGGGCCAGGTCAAGGGTGACCCATCGCCACAGCCACTAGCCCTAGGTCAAGCCCTCCTGTGTGAAGTCCACATGCATCCAAGGGCACATACCCCTGGCATATACTCCATGAAGATGGTGAGGATCTTCTCAGCACGGTCCCGCAGGCAGCCATAGTACTGCACAATGCGCTCATGTTGCAAGTTCTTTAGCAACTGGATCTCACACTCCAGAGCACTCACCTCCTAGAAAGGGACCACTGGTTACCACTGAGGGCCCAGTCCTACCCACCTGGGATCAGCTTATCTTGCCCTAGTCTATGATTCACAAGGGTTGGGAACTTCAGCTGGAGAACTACTACAAACTCTCTCAAATGTCTGGCCCTTGGCCACAATACTGTGTAGCCCTTGGGATGCAGCATTCCTTACCCAGAGGAAGGCAAACAGGAGTGAAGTGGGAGGAAGGGCTACAGAAGCCTACTGAAAGTAACTACTGTATTTGTCTATTTAAATTCATGTGTAGACTATGTGACTCCTACTTCCAAAGGACAAATGGGGAGCTCCATAGCTTTCTTCTGGGTCAAAGCTGTTTAGGGAGTGGGTCCAAAGAGTGTCCTTTGAGAAATTGGTCCTCATATCTCAGTTTAGGTTGCTAGGACTTTAACACAGATGTGGTCCTTCTCCTTGGGGTTCCATACATTTTGGGACATTAGCCCTTCACCCCTTGGATAGGGCTAAGATGGACAGCAAGAAAGCCTGGGATGGCCAGGCAGTGGTGGTGTATGCCTTTTAATTCTAGTACTTAGGAAGAGAGGCAGATGCATCTCTGTGAGTTTGAGGCCGGCCTGGTCTACAGAGTGAGTTCCAGGACAGCCAAAGCTACACAGAGAAACCCTGTCTCAAAACAAACAAACAAACAAACAAACAAACAAACAAAAAACCCAAAAAGCTTGTGAGGTTTTGGGAAGTAACTTGTATCACTTTAGGCAAGTATTCAATAGCTGTTTTGGCTGGAGGTTTGTATGCAGGGAAGGACATACCTTGCTTGTCTCAGGACTGTCTGGGTCAAACTGGACCTGCTTAGAAGCAAGTTCACGTCCTGTGTCCACATCGTAGCACAAATAGACCCTGCCAAAAGCACCTTGACCCAAGAGCTTCCCCCGACGCCAATTGATGGGAGCACTGGGAGCTAGAGAGCAGAAAGCAGAGAGAGGCAGAGAGGGGGGAGAGAGAGAGAGCGCGCGCAGACATTAGACCATAACTTTCTGTGCTTGGACCCTCCTATCCTACAATCACAGAACCCTGCTCAGATCCTCCTTATACCCAGCACGGCCCATCCCGTCCTCTTGCAGGTCTACGCTGTTGGTCAACAGCACCTCAGAGATGGTTCTGAGAAGCAGGGGACTGGTAAAATGGCCTTCTGTGCTGATGAAAACACTTTGTTTTCAGAGCTCCTAAACATGTGTTTTATCTGCCCTTTATGTTTTTGAGACAGGGCCTTGGTGTGTAACACATGCTGGCCTTGAACTCACTATGTAACTCAAGCTGGCATCAACCATTCCATATTCTTGCCTCAGCTTCCGAGTGCTGAGATGACAGGCATATACCACTATGCCCAGTCTGCTCCTAAATATGTGAATGGGCAAGGACTGAGTGATGCCCTTTAGCTTAAACATGGGAAAACTAAAGACCAGGAAGAAGAAATGGCTTGTCATACAGCCATCAAGTCAGACCTACGTTCTAGGATGTGGTGCCCTCTCCAAAACTCTGAGTGGGGAGGATGCACCAGAGCAGCCTATTACTAAGAACAGGTGCCACAGCGGCACACCTGAACATTTGTCCCTGCAGCCTGTCTCACACCCACAGCGTTCTCCTAGTCAGGAACACCTCTCACATTTGGTTGGCACATTCCTTTCCTGCACAGAGAGGGCATTCTCACTGTCCGCACTCCGTAGGCGCCCACGGGGGTCCAGGTATTGCACAGCTACACCCATGTTCTCGCCATTTGTGCTCAAGGAGCGACTTGAGGGCACCAGAGTGAATAGGTTGCCTTGATGCCGCCGTATTCGGGGGAATGTTCTTCTGCCTAAAAAGGTGTAGGAATAAGGACAGAGCAAGTCAGAGCCCTGGCCACAGACCCAGATGTGCAAAGTAGATGCAGTGGCAGCCAACTCAGGGGCATCCCACTGCCACAAGCTGTCCCAGTTCCCTGAGAGTTAAGACAAAAGCAGAAATTAGGAAGTTGACTGGTTAACTTCGGGAAGCCCCGAACATAATAAGACATAAGACTGATCCTCAGGCCCAACAAAAAGGCAAACTACACAAAATAAACTCATATGTTCTGTTCAGCAACCTACTCCCGATCCCTCTGCCACAGCTTTAGTTCATCTGTTAATGCTGCGGAAGATGCAGTAGAGAGGTGGCACCCTGGAAGATATGTGTACTCAAAGGACAGCATTCCAGTGACAGCATCTTCATCTACCAACACCACCCCCATATCTGGCCAAAAGCCTAGGGCACAATACCTCAGGAATTAAGAGAAAACACAGAGGTTGGAATACCTGGTTTCCTTTCCATCAACCCCTAAACCCTTCATTTTTTCCAGGCAAAAGCTTGGTCTTTCACTAGCCAACCAGCAGGGGGGAGTGTAGAGCACTCACCATCATTGTAGTCTTTGTGGTGTACGGACACATGGTAGCGCCTGGGATAGGTTCCACCTTTGACTCCTTTATCATAGAGCTGGGTCTCCCGATCTATGGATGAGTCAATATGGATGAATCACTTAAGCTCCTAGGCCTCCTGAGACTTTAGAGTAGCAATTCCAGGAAAATTACTGTACAGTTTTGACTTCCCAACTTAGAGGTGTCTGTGGTCCCAAGAAGACACTCTTCCCAACCCCTGAAGTACCCACCTGGGCTCTGTGGAACTTACCGGAGCATTCCTTTCTGTTGTCTGGGAAGCTCCTGGCTCGGGACATTTGGGATTTCCTGAAGGATGGGCTAGAAAAAAACAAAAGACTACAAAATAAACTCCAGTACACACCTAGAGTAGCCCAGAGGACAGAACAAAGATATCTAAGTGGTGTCCCTTCCAAATGATGTTCGGAGAGGGAGAGGTGGAGGAAGCCTGGTCTCTGATGCTCACAACCCCATTTCACTAGCCTGAAATCAAACAGGAGTAATGACTATATTTATTTTACTGCATTCCATGCTGGCTGTTTGTCTTCCTGCCGTTCTTGGCCTTTCCCCTAATCTCTAATCTATAGCAGGTGAAGAGCTGTAAAAACCAAACCAATTCAAACAACAACAAACCAACTTGGCCTCAGCACTGATAATGAAAACACTGTAATTTAAAGAAAATTTGCTTTTGTTACTGCTTCTCCTTTTTCTTTTTGGTTTGGTTTTTCTTTGTATAGCCCCAGCTGTCCTGGAACTCATTCTGTAGAACAGGCTGGCCTGGAACTCAAGAGATCTGCCTGCCTGTCTTCTGAATAGTGGGATTAAAGGTACGTGCCACCACTGCCTGGCAGAGAATGCTTTCTTATTTTAGAGTGAGCTTTTCCTCATTTAATCCTCATACCTCTGTTAGGTAGGACACATAATAAAAGTAATAGCAGGTACCAGTTATTGAGTAGCTGCTGTTATTACTAATTTTCACTGATCACCTACTCCTCTTTATGTGCCCAAAACACAGCCAGGAAACAAAAGAGTTACTATGCTACTGCAGTCTGTTTCTGTCACTATACTAGGCCTCCATTTAGACTACCATCTCATATTAGAGATGGGGAACAAAGAAACTAAGAGGGCGTACGTGTGCATGTGAAGGCCAGTCTCAACTGTTCTCCCTCGTTTTTAGAGGCAGAGGTTCTCACTGAGCCTTCAACCTTCAGATTCAGCTGGACTGGCTGGCTAGTGAGCCTGTTATCCTCCTGTCTCTACGTTCCCAGCACTGAGACTACAGATGTGTAGTGCTGTACCCAGCTATTTTACTTGGGTTATGGGAGATTAAAGTCAGGTCCACATGCTTGTACAGCAAACACTTTACTAACAAAGCCATCTCCCTAGTCCTCCAAGTGTCTTTTTGAGGGCTTCACAGATCAGAAACTCTCAAGATAGTTTTGGAGAGCTACCCCCTCCTTTTAAACAACTAGACTACCATCCTCCCTTGATATCCCAAAGTTTCGGGAGAGTCCAAAGCTAAGCCAGTCCCTGTTCTGGCTGAGACCTTGGCCAGTGGCAGTGCCTCCTGCTATATTGACTGGAGAATAAGTCCCAAAGAAACCTACATACTAATAACTATGTATGCATTCTGTGACATCTAGAGATGGTGATTAGCCACTAGATCATTACCCTCATCAACTGATGACACAAAGAAGGAAGTTATTCCTGTTTCCTAGCCCCAGACTATTCCCTGACCCCCAATTCCCAATCAAACGAGTTCTTAGACATAAAGAGGCGAAGACCTGCTCCAAATACCCTCACAAGCCCAGTCATGGCACATAGGAAACCATGGCAGGAAGACTAAGCTCCAGACCAGCTATCTAGTAAGAACTTGCCTCAAGAAAACAAAGCACAATAACACAACACACCCTCAACAGCACTACTAAAACTCACAGCCAACACTGACTTCTAAGAGTGTAAGAACAAATACTCTACAATAAGAGATAAAAGTTAAGTTAGGCAATCTGGATGTTCTGTTTTCTAATTATTCTAATCTAGCTTCTTATTTAACCAGAAACATTTGCAGAAAGAAAAGACAGGACAGAGCAACCTATGAATGAGAATTCCATTTTTCTTCCAAATTTCAATAAGCTATTGATTATTGCTCCAAACTACAGTAATGAGGTTAAAAAAAAAAAAAAAAAAAACCAGGCAGCCTATAGTATGTGTAAAGTCAAAACAGATAAAGCACCAGGAATAATACAGCAAACAGTAAATGAACTGTTCTTCTAAGCTATTATTATTTTATTGTGTACTAAACATTCTCAGAGTATTTGGGAAACCAAGGGCCTCTCTAAAAACACACTGTTTTAACCCTGGGCCTATGGCTGCATCAGAGACATGGACTAGTCAATTCTACTCCTAAAACCATTCCAAAAATGCCTACTCATTAGGTCCCCAAACCACCCACACCTCCATACCTGTCTGCTGACTTGTCCAAGGATTGGCAGCTTCCTGACAAGGAATTTTCAGCACTGCTCAAGGGATCTAGCATCTGTAAGGCAAGTCATACAATCAAACCACAGATTCCACTCAAATCCCAGCAAGCTGACCCAGGCAGAGCTAGCATGTGGTCCTTTTCTTCAAAATATGGAAGTGTCTTTGTTTCCCCATGTAGTGGAAGAAGGGTATAATGTACCATTCTGTACCTTAGTTTGAAAGGCAAGTTTCTAGGATAAAGGAAAATGTTTGGCTGGCATCCCTAGGAGCTCTGCCAATAGAGCAAAGCAGAGACACTGCTGCTCTTGTTGGCATTTTCTTGGCCCATCAACTTTAGTGCCTGGCACTTGAAATGGTATTGCCCTGCAAAAGTTTCCAGTGCAGTTTGGGTGGAACTTAATGCTTCTGTTTATACTCTATAATTCACAATTTACAAAGACAAGCATTACCTCATTTCACAGAGGAACACTGCAGACCAAGAAAGGTTAGGAGATATGTATCTAAACTCATAAAATAGTGAGTAAACAGCTGGCACCAAATTCCCAGTTCCTGGCTCTAAAGCATAGGTAAGAAATATCTATATAAATTAAAATATTTTTCTAGCTTATAGTCAAATATATTAACAAAGAATCTTCAGAATTAGATTTTTTTTTCCCCCCTAACATAAAGGCTTCATTTTTTTTTTTCTTCCTGACAGAGGAATTGTAAAGATGGAGTGCAGCCTTCAAATCCATGTCTGGATTCCCCATCTAAAGGCACTAAAACAATAGAGGTGTACTGTTTTAAGACCAAATGTGTGACTAATGTAGCAATAGATAACTAATGCAGCTATTAGCAAAAGCATGTTATTTTACCAGTCCTATAGTATAATTTAGCCCCCCCCCATCAAGAAATAGCAAAATTAAAATGTAGAAAATGAAAAACACAATCTGTCAGTTCAGGACTGTTCACAGTTAAAACTGCTTAATGAGAACAGGTCACTGTAAGAAATCTGCAAACAGTACATACAGTACTGTGGTGTTTTACAAGGGGCCTAGTATGAGAGGCCCCAAAGAGGGATATTGTTAAGTGCTCATCTAACACTAGTGAAGTTAAAAATTTAGATATCATCTTTGAAAACTGACCTTTGGCCTCTCAAAGGAATAACCAACCCATCTTGTGGCAGGATTGGTTTTTAAAGAACTAAGGGATGGGCATCAAATTCCTTGGGTCTGTAATGAGTCACTGAGAGCAATCTTGGTCTGAACATATTATATACCCTGGCCCCATTACTCACACACTGCTCGCTGGTCTCTGGGATGAACTCGCCTTCACTGTTGATGCTCGTATAGGATCCCTGCCGGGCAATATGCTGTTGTCGCTCAGGTACATAACCAGGTGGAGGAGAGCTTCTGCCAGGGTTCTGGGAGCCTAGAGTACAGAAAGAAGACCCTTTAATAACAGAGCCAACATAAGGCACAAGAGGAGCAGAGCCAGATAGAAGACTGGGCCCACGAGATCAGGGATGTAACTCAGATGGCCATGGCACCAGAGCCCAGCACCTTCAGCCCAAGGAAGCAAACGACATCCCTTCCTTACAAAGTTACTTTCCGAGATGGAACAGTACTAGAGTATACATAACTAAGAACCTTGACATAAAACATCAATCAGAACCAGCTTTCTGATACTAACTGGAAGTCAAGAGTGTTCTTATAGCCAGGTAGCGGTGGCACAAGTCTTTGATCCCAGCACTCTGGAGGCAGAGGCAGGCAGATCTCAGTGAGTTCGAGGCCAGCCTGGTCTACAGAGCTAGTTCCAGGAAAGGTTCCAAAGCTACACAGGGAAAAACCTGCCTCAACACAACAACAAACAAAACAAAAACAAAACAAAACAAAACAAAAAACCCCACAAAAATGCTCTTAGGACCTTGAGATAGCTCAGCAGGTGAGGGTGCTTGTCACCAAGTCTGACAACTTAAGTTCATCCCCCAGAGACCCACATGATGGAAGGACTCCAAGTTGTCCTCTCCATACATGCTGTCGTGGCATGCTCACACACATGTGTGTACATACACATAATATAATAAAAATTTAAATCTTATTTATTATTCATGTCACTTCTCTTGATAATGTCCTATCTTCCTCTCTCTCTCTTCTGGGCAAGACTGCAAGTGAATGCCTAAAACCCTGAATACTAAACCCAAAGCATATATATCTATGACAAAAATTTAATGTATAAATTATGTATAATAAGAGATTAACAATAACTAGCTTGGCCTAATGGTGCATTCCTATAATCCCAGGACTCAGGTGCAGGGAGACTGAGCTCCAAACTAGCATAAGTTATATACCAAGATCCTTCAAAAACAAAGAACAACACTAACTCATCTTCCCCACCCCACCCCCCCAAAAAAAAAAAAAACCCAAAACCTCACAAGGGCTAAGGATGTAGCTCAGGGAAGAACACTTGCCCAGCTATGGAATCCTCTGGGTTTGATCCCCACCACTACACACTGCAAAGCAAAACCAAAAACTCAAACTAATAAAACAGAACAACTATAACAAAATACTGCAATAACACTACCAGAATCACTACTCTTTAAGGAGCCATTCGGTAAAAAAATGGGTTCCTTGCATACAAGCTCTACTAATGCAATACAATCTGATAACTGGGATAGTCACCAAGTGACAAGCGGGCCAGCTGCAAATATATCATGGATACACAGGCAAAGGCATGACTCACATTCCAGGTAGAATGGTGTAAGATTTTATCGTGATACTTAGGGTAAAGCAGAATTTAAAATGTATTGTTGGACCTGGAGAGATGGCTCAGCAGTTAAGAGGGCACACTACTCTTGCAGAGGATCAGAGCTAGATCCCCAGCATCCATGGTGGGTAGCTCACAATTGCTTGTAACCCCAATACCAAGAGAATCTGATGCTTCTGGCCTCAGCTGGCACTAGCACACAAATACATACATATCCACACATAAACTCATAATTACATATAGAATACATCTTAAAAATAAAAATTAAAAACCCAAGCCAGGCAGTGGTGGCACACTGTTAATTCTAGCATTCAGGAGGCAGAGGCAGGCAGATCTCTGTTAAGTTCAAGGCCAATCTAGTCTATAGAGTGAGTTCCAGTACATCTAGGGCCACACAGAGAAACCCTATCTTAAACAAACCCAAAACAACAACCAACCCCAAAAGAAACAAAAACTCAGGCTATGTGTATTTTACTTCTTTAGTCCCAGGCACATCTCTTAAGAGTTCCAGGCCAGCCAAGGCTACAGAGTAAGATGCCATCTCAGAACAATTAAAAAATAAAGCTCACTGTGTGTTAGAGTTTGAATAAAAATGGCTTCCATAGGTTCATATATTTGAATGCTTGGTCCCCAGTTAAGGCAACTGTTTTGGGAAGGACTAAGAGGTGTGCCCTTGTTGCAGGTGTGTCAATGGGGCGTGGGCATTGAAACCTTTGACATTTTAAAACCCAGGCTTAGTGTCTCTCTGCCTTTTGCTCCTAGATCAGATGTAAGCTCCCAACTACTCTTCCAGTTCCATATCTGCCTGCCACTGTACTCCCTACCATGATGTCCATAGACTCACCCTCTGAAACTGCTCCTTATAAATTGCCTTGATTATAGTGTCTCTTCACAGCAATAGAAAAGTAATCAAGATACATATTTCTGATTTCTTTTCTTTTCTTTTTTTTTTTAATTTTCAAAACAGGGTCTCACTACATAGACCTGGCTGGCCTTATTATGATAAAGCAAGTGGGAACTTGGGTAGCTTCCATGGCAGGCGAGATTGACCAAGGTGGAGGACAAACATGACAGGCAGACAGAACTTAGTGAGAAGTTTTATTAGAAAGGGAAAGGGGGTGGGGGAGGAGGGAGGAGGGAGAGGAAAGCAAAAAGAGGTAGAAACACAAAGACAGAGAAGACAGAAGAGAAGATGGAAACAGGAAAAGTTTTGTCTGCCCTAGGGGAACAGCAGGAAAGAGAGGGTGTAAGTGGGCAGGGTTTTCTTTTAAAGGGTCCTTTGCACCTGCCTGCAGACTATTTAGCCATGGAACCCTGGGATGACCTGAGTGTATTCTGCCAGGTGACAGGGCAGGCCAGCATAATGCCTGAATTCTTACAGGCCTTGAACTCAAAGATCTCTGCCTTCCTCTGCCTCCAAGTTATGGGATTAAAGATGTGTACCACCACACCCCAGCTTGATTTCTTCATTTAATACTTCCTGACTGAGCCAGATGTGGAGGGACACGCCTATTGTTTGTTTATCTACTCTGGAGGCTGAGGTAGGAAGATTACTTGAGTTTAGAAGTTTGAAGCTAGCCTGGGCATAAATATAAAAACATTTCTTAAAAGACTAATTTATTTATTATATACAGTGTTCTGCCTGCATGCCAGAAGAGGGCACTGGAACACATTATAGATGGCTGTAAGCAACTATGTGGTTTCTGGGAATCGAACTCTGAGCCATCTCTCCAGCCCATAAACTTAAAAATAAATAAATGAATGAATGAATAAATAACAGACCCAGCTGGGAAATAGAGGCAGGAAGATCAAGGCCATCTTCTGCTATATAGTGAGTTCAAAGTCAGCCTGGGATATAAGTGGCCATGAATAAAAACAAACATTAAATTCTGGGTAGTTGATTGCTGGTAACTGAAACTGTGAAAAGAATTATAAACAGGAGGCCATGTATACTAGTTTATCAGCTCAGCCTTCGAGAGCTTTGGGCCCCCAACAACATTTTGAAACTGGCACCCAGGAGAAGCTAAATGGATAACCTGGACATATGTCCCTGAGGTTCTGTTTCTTCTCTACCTATATCAGATTAGAAAACACTTTGAGATAGGCATGGTGGCACATACCTATAATCCCAGCACTCAGATGGTTGAGGCAATCCTGGCCTCAGTGAAGACACTCTAGCTAGAGACAAGAGACTGTCTCTCAATGCCACTTACTCCCACAATCCCTGACTATTATGAGAACATTATGTTGCCCTTAATCCGAAGTTTCCTTTTCAATTTTCAACAATTTACAAAAGACCTTTGTAAACACTCTCTGGGTAATTCTGAGGTATCCCCCAAGATATTTTTTTACATTGTTACTTTAGAAAAAACAAACAAAAAACAATCTTTAGAAGGTTCAAGAAACTATTAACAGGACCAGTCAGCAGGTAAAAATACTTGCCACTAGGCCTCACAACATGAGGTTAATCTCTAGGACCTACATGGTCTAAAGAGAGAACTGACTCTAACAAGTTGTCTTCTGGCCTTCATATTTGTGGGGAACCTATCTACCCTGTCATGAAGAAAGCCAAAAACATAATAACCCTGTCCTTTTATATCCTCTACCTCTGCCCTACAATCCAGAAATCCCGAGACACCACAAATGGCAAAGTACTACCGCTTAGCAAACTACTTCCCAGTCTAGTTCAGGACTATTAAACTAGGTTTTCTATGATAGAACTATGCAGGAAAGATGTTCTGTGGAAATGGCTAAGAAAGAGAACAAGTTTAGTAGCTGGTGGTGTGGAGAACTTGATCACTCTACTCTGGAAGATGTGACCACCCAATGCCAACTTCCCTCTTTCCTGAAAGAAACCAGTTTCAGAAGGAAAATTTAGGGTACATACTATTTTAACTTTGTGTATAGCTCACTCAGCCGGTGCTCCAGGACAGATGGTAGATACGTCCATAGTGCAAGGGATGCTGAAAAGTTTGGCTGAGGTACTTTTAATACCCCAAGAGAATATATTGGACATAAACAAATAGGCCTCAACAAAACTTTCTGAGCCACAGAGAGAGAAAAATACTTGACAAAACAAAAACAAAAATGGTGTACTAAGTTAGTGCTTGAAAAATGGTGGGTGGGGCGTTTGTCGTTTTGAAATAGGGTTTTACTATGTAATTCTGGTGGCCTTGAACTCAGAGATCCACTTGATTTCTGCCTCTGGAATGAAAAGATTAAAGGCGTACACTACCATGCCTGGGGAAAAACAGTTTGTTTGTTTGTTGTTTGTTTGAGATAGAGCTATATACACCAGGCTAGACTTAACTCATCCTCCTCCCTCCATCTCCTGGGATGACAGGGGTCTCACATCTGGTGTTCAAAAGACAGTATCTAAACAGTTTAAATGATTCTCAGTGTTGCTTTAAGAGACAGGGCTCTTCACTCTTGTGAATAAAGTCAGTTGTTCCAACCAATTCATGGCTCATTCAGATGTGCTGAAGACATGCGATGGAGTTACCACCAAGAACACTTCTGATTGCTTCGTGGAGATATTAACCACAGGACATAGTCTCAGATGAGAAGACTGACATAAAACTGTAAAATTGTCCTGAAAATAGGCAAAGAATTTTGTGGATTGCTTGTCTCAACATCTCACTCACAGAGTGAAAGCTAGCAGTTCT